GCACTTGTAAATGAAGCCTTCTGAGCATAAACCTACGCTAACACCTACAGGCAAATACTAGTGAACCTGACCAAACTGTAAATTAGTCTCATTAAAAGAAACAACAACTCCCCACCTTAATCCATCCACCTGCACTGGCAAAGAAACCTGTTAAATCTACTGAACTGCTTCGAACACACTGCATTTATTGCAAGAGATAAAAGGTTGCCTCCTCTGGCCAGAGGCAGCACTGTCAACAGACAGAGAGGCACCTGGAGATAAACCTGCTCAAGTGGGAAACAGGCTATTGAGGTTCCATTCCCAGGTGTGACAGATTCCCTCTGTTGCCTTGGAAACATCACCTCCATTCTCTGTGCTTTATTTGTAAAATCAATACAGTATCCACTCATCTTAACTAGGCGGCTGATTTATACTTGCCAGGTGGTAGAAGCATCTAGCAAGCCGCTTCTGTGTTTCAGTCTCTCCATTCACGAACCAGGAGTAGCAATGCTCCAAGGGAACCACACAAAGCTTTAACAGAGCCCAGTGATGGACTCCGAAGACATTCTGCTCTCCCTGGAGAAGGTAACAGACTCTGAGGGCACCAAGATTACCAGTCATTAGAGAGCAAAGACAGAGAAAGGTCTGCCTACCTGAGTAAAAATCTTGGCATTCGGGGGTGTAGAATATTCTGGTGGCAGAATTATCCATCTGTAAAGCAAGGTAAGCTCCTTGGACCAAAGCTGTTGTACATTTGCACAGCACTGTAATGGCTTGCTGATCTAACCTTTTCCTAAACCAAACTTAAGTCAAAAGATATGGATTAAGTCAAAAGATATGGATTTTGACTTAAGTCAAAAGATATGGATTATTTAATAATACATTTCACCAAAAAGAAACACAAGAGAAATGCCTCTATGTTTCATTTCGTAAGTCCTGTTATAAGGAAGCTTTAAAAATGGAAAGAAACTCCAATTTTGCAGGAACTTGACAGTGTATGAGACCAAGAAAATGAAAGACTACTAAGAAGAATCATGCACCAATTGTATACTATTTTATACACAGGCATAGGGCTAGAAGACACCTACAGGTATCACCTTTACATCTCCCAGCTCTGAGCTACTGGTCTGCCCCAAGGAGCAGAGACAGATAGGATTTGTCTTACCACAGTTTTGCTAAACTATCACAAAGATGGGTTTCTGATTATGGCTGACCCAGCACACCTCAATATTATTATCTGCAATCTTTAGGCTTAGGAATTACTTTTCAAATCAGCAACACTTTTTCAAAATACAGGTTACAGTGCTTTCCCCATCACTTCATCATGCTGGGGTGCTCACCACTAGGACAATGTACAACTGGAGGCAAAGAATGCACAATTGGAGGCAAAGAACATGGCACATAAAATACTAGAATAATCAGGACCACAGTTAAAACCCACGGCATTTTTCCTCAAAGGAGGAAACTTTATGCCCAACATCCTTGCCTTCTTTAGCTTGTATTGTTACTGTTCATCCCATTTATTGATCGCTCTAGCTGCACAGCATCTTTGTTATTCTTGAGGAAGAACTGGCTGGTGTCAATACAAACAGTTAAATAAATACCATATTTCTACCCAGAGGTGGTTGCATTTAAGGACCAGCAATTCCATTTATGAGTGCTCTGAAATCTTTCATGGTGAAAGCTGCTAAGGTTATTGCTACCCCAATTGTTTCACAGCTAGAAAGAGTGCTGTGTTTAAATCCAGAAATGGCAAAAAACCTCCATTTCAGTAGGAAAAAGGAAATGGCTAGAGAAAAGCCTGTTTTATGAGCCTACCTGTCACAACAGATTTTCCTGCAGAGAGAGAGAAATGTTTGAAATGTGAACTTACAAGCAGCCTCGGCATGAATCCCAGTAGAGCCAAATTTTCAAAACACATTACATGCCCTCCCTTCTATTAGGATCAACAAAATACATTCTTTACCAGTGGGAACAGAAAGCTCATCTGAGAAAAAGCAAACAGCATTAAATAATCCCAAAAGAAACACATAAAAGGTTTTGCTGGGGGAAAGGAGGCAAAATAATAACAACACTTTGCACCAAGTGGCTTTCAGGGTACCATTTTGTATTTTACAAAGACAATTGAATTGTAATAGGTTTGGTGCAAACAACATACAAAAAGAATACACTTACTCTGAACTCCATTAGATATTGAGGCTATGTGAAAATAACGCAACAGAAGGAAGAGCTTGGGTTTAAAGGACAAGGGAAGGGAATGACAGCTTTGAGAATATATATGGATATGGGCTAGTCACAAGTTTTTAGAGGAAGAAAATCAGCACAAAAAGACAAACAGGCAGGCATAAACGGCTGCATGAAAATTAGCACAAAAAATAACTGAGGCTTAAAATTCTACAAGAAAAAGTTATTTACTGTTTTTAAGGGCAGCATAACCTGGTGGTTTGTATATTAAAGATTTGTATTCAATTTCTGATTCCATTGATTGTTTAAAAAGAAAACCTCAATTTCAGTGTCTCTGATTTCCTCTCAATACCATTTGTCTTAACATGAGCACAAGAGACTGGGTCCCCTATTATAAGTCTGTATAGTGTACAGGCTATAAGTCAGGGCAAGAGGTGTTACCTCAACATATAAACAATCATGAAAAAGCTATCACGATTATTTTAGAATGGAAAGCTCTGGGCAATCCAAAAAAGCCAAGTCAATATAAATCCTCCAAAAGAGCATTTATAAGGATTTGGAGAAATAAAATCAAATCAAAGGCAAAACAAAAACCTAGGCCATACCAAAAGTATGGATAACTCAAGTGCTATTCAAGTAATTTAAAAGCTACAGTCCAGTTAAAAACGTTTTAGACATTTTAAAGACAAATTAACCTGAGATTTTAAATATATATATATACTATTTATTCTCCTCAATTCAAGCTGGCTTGAATCATGAAAATCAATTTCATTTTCACTTTCACGCATTAGCTCAATATTGCAATATTTAGGTCAGGAAAACATTTCTCCAATTTATGTATGTATTTATGTAAACATATTAACCTAGGAGAGCAAGTGTGCACCCTTCTAAATCAAACCTTATGCCATTTTTGGCCCAAAGCTCTTATTTTAAGCTAAAATTTCTAAATGAAGCGGCAAGTCCATAGCTGCATCAAAATGTAGCCTTTAGCACATGAGAGAGGTGAACAATACCTGTTCAATGCAGTGCAGAAAGGTGTTGGGTTGTTCTAGGACGTGGTTCTACAATTTCACATTCACACTGTTCTTTATGTGTCTATCTCTACACTGATACTTCCATTCAACTGACATTGAGTGAAACATCTGACAAACTCCAGTTTCATCTCTGACAAATATTAGGACACCAGATTCAGGCTCAGGAACCTTGGCTGTAAGCAGCAACTTTTCATGTGATCTTTAATGAACCTTCTTGTCTTGCCACTTCTGATTTCCCCAGCTGTGAGGTGAATGCACGGTAAGGGGAAGGGACAGAAGGACGATTAGGTTTTTGGGGTTTTTGAAAAAAATTTTTAGTGCTATGATGGATATGCATTACATCCCCGCTTAGCTCTTATGAAAGAACAGGTAGCTACACGTAGCTGTTATATTTTGAATGCCACACAAATGCAAAATAGGATAGTTGATTGTACTGGAGAGAGATGGCCACTCTCATTGAGCTGGCACTTTCATCTGGAGTGTGTTCAAGACTTTGCTCTTAGACCAGCGTACACTTAGACCAACAAGCACCTCCTCCAAGCACACCTTGGCAGGGACCGCAAAGAGTTTGCTGTTAGAGAGGTCTCAGACAGGGCCTTGCTTCGGTAGCTCTGTGTTAAACAGCCAGTCAGTCCATCCAGAGGCAAAGCGCAGCAGGAACTCTGGAACACATCCTGACAGGTAATGAACAGCATTCTTTGTAAAGACTGAAGTATTACTAGTCCCACTGTAAGCGTGGTCAAACACCATCATCCCTGTTCAGGCACAGTAGGTAAGCAGTTATCCAAGAACTGAACTCAGTTCCGTGCCTGTATTGACATCACTTTGTCACATTGCCTCAGCACGCAAATAGCACACTGCTGCTTAAAGGGGACTGAGACAAACTAACCCAGCCTTCCTCTCCACTTTGTCAGCGTACTGTTGAAAGCACAGGTATTAGCACCACATGACCAGAGACAATTCTGTTGATGACACCACCAGGTAAGGTTTAAACTCTTCAGCAGAGATTATTGATTGAAGAGAAATAAAAGCTAGCTTAGAGGCCCAGGCAGACTCAGCTCTCATTAACTTCAAAATTCTAATACAAGATTATAAGTTTTTTTCAACTTGGAAAGATATAAAAGCAGGACATCTGGACTACATTTTACCAGCACAATTTGCATGAGGCACAAATGAAAATCAGCATAAAAACTAAGCTGAATTATAGGTACAAGCTTGGTTAGGTGCAACTACTATCCCAACAACAGAAGAGTTTGGTCCACATCCAGTTTTACTCAATTTAACACCTTTGCAAACTACAAATAACTGCTATGCTATGCTATCCCAGTGGAAGCTGTGGTTCACGGATTAGACACATCTACTAGCTCATCAAGACCAGTCTTTTCTATTTCTCATTCGCAGCAAGAGCATTGACATAATTTGCTCTAGCCTGCCAACTATGTCTTTATTTAGTAAGAGGAGCATAAGAGGAGTTCAGGCTTGTAGGGAAGACTTGGTGCAAATCATGTTGGACGTGCTGCTAACCAGCATCCTTTATATGCCAACTTAGCTAAATACAGCTGAGAAGAGTAGCTGACTCCTGTGCAGCTTGTCCTGTGTTTTATACTAGCTGACACTCTCTTCAACTGTTAAGTCTCTAATTTTGCTAGCTTATGCAACTAGAGGCTTAAGCTTTAGGGCAGCCTATCTTGCAAGGGGTCAAGGAGGAACTCTCTCTACAGATAAGTTATTTTACTAACAAAATTTCTTGCAGCTCCAAATAAGGCAACTGGTTCTGGCCAGCCTGGCGATGGGCCTAAAGAGTCCAGTCTGTTTCAAGAGCATAGTTTCTGTGTACAGGACACAGTGAGCTAAGAAAGCAATATTTCACAGCTCTACACAGAAAATTGTATATTTCTTTTTTGACTAATGATGATTCTACTAGAGCTTGGTATGGAGAATTTGCGTTTGTTTCTGCATTTAATTTACTAAATCAAATTAGAGTTCAATTTGGTAATTCATCAACTTCCACCATCCATCACTGAACACAGAAGTAACATATACCTTCTCAGATTCCTAAAATGGTCTGTAACAGCCTCCTGTTAAATGCTACCTTGCTATTGGCCATGCAAGGACCCTTACGTTACAGGAATTTTGAGTAGAACTCCATTCACAACTTTTCAGGTGCAAGTTGTGCAAGTAAGACCACAATATTAAGAGAAGGATGTTGACAATGAGAAACATGAACACCACAAATGATATTTTAAAGATAATGACATATGCACAAGAGTGGGGGGAAAAAAAGCCCTCACGATATTCAAAAGCTCCACCTCTTTCAAAGGAGGGTTAAGGAATTTTGCAAGTGTAAAGAGCACCTGCACTCACACACACCAAGTAGTCCAAAAGCTTGGCTGCAAGGGACTTCAGATTTCCGGGGCTGTAGCAAACCAAAGAAAGTGATCTCCTACTGCCTTGCTGGCTGATAGCCTGATCAGAAAGGAAATAGCTATTTCTTTCCATCAGAAAACAGGGCTCTGACATTTGGAAGCTAATTCACTTCACAAACAAGTATCTTCAGGCTCACCTTCTTATCACTGATTTTCCTCCTTCCTCCTCTCAAACTCATAGCTGAGGGAAAGTTAGTAAGAATCTAGGAATAAAAGAAACAGTCCCAGGAGAAGAGAACTAGAACTATTAGCTCACTACAGACTTACTTCAGCAGATCACCACGACTATCACCTGCTACAGGGATTGAGTAAAGAATGAGCCCGCAGAGACAAGCATCTCCTCTCCCAGGGTCTCTTTGGCCAACCCCACAACACTACTGACATATTTTTGGAACAGTGTTATAATGTCAACTTCAACAACTTAGATGGGAAGATCCTTAATATTTTTTTTCCTATCAGAGAAGGATACAATTTGCTACAGTAACAAGCACAGAAAGGGTTAAACAGTTGTGGCTGAACAAATCCTCCACTTCTCATTCATTGCCTCCTGAAGGGAAATTAGACTTTAATTCAATCTGGCCAAAGCTTTATATTATTTACTCCAGGCAAACTCTTAAGAATCAGCCCTATTGCAGAAGAGATTAAACAAATTCATCACGCAGAAGGCTTAGTTTTTCGTTACGAGGCTGCTCCGGCATCAGAGAGGCTGCGCCCAGCCCCCTGCCTGGCGGGAGGGCGAGCAGGACGGAGCCGAGGCCCCGGCGCCCTTACCGGGGAAGGGACCCCGAGCC